AAAGATTCATGCAAATGATGAGCCAAAAAGACGAAAATAAGTCTGTAAATAATCTCGTAAAGGTAAAATGCTTTTACGGAACGGACGATGAAGACCCATTCGAGTGGTTTGCCGAATTCGAACGAGCCGCTAAGGCTAATAATTGGACCGGAGATCGTCGTTTCCATATTGCTTCGGGCTATCTAAAAGGTATAGCCGCCGATTGGTATTCTGAAAATGAAAAAGAGATAAATGAGTGGAAGACTGAAGACGAAACTGAAGAAAAGAAAAGTGAAAGCTTTTATCATCGGTTCGTCCAACAATTCGCCCCAGAGGAACGTCAACATCGCTGGGCCATTGAACTAGGTGCTTTAAAACAACAAGAGTTAGAGAAGTTAGATACCTATGCCAACAAATTTAAAAGATTATTAAGTCGGGTTAATCTTGGTCATAGCTTACCCGATATTCATATCGTAAGAATGTTCCTTAAAGGATTGAAAGGAAGAAATGCAACGTTTGTTTCTGTTGCTGCACCGAAAAATTTAAACGAAGCTATTGCCGTGGCTCGAAGGGTAGAAGCCGGAGAATATTATAGTGAGCCTACGGTCGGAAGTAATAGTATAAGTCATAATGTAGGAAATGAATGGAATGAGATGAAGAAAAGGATTGAGGGGTTAGCATTAAATTATGCTACCCTAAGTACGCAATTAAGGGATACGAGAAGTTATCGTCCAAGAAATAATTTCTATAGAGGACGACCTCAAAACAATTACAGATGGGAAAGGAACGGAGGACTTAAATGTGGTAAATGTGGCGAAGTAGGTCATGTAGCCAGAAGATGTATGTCCGAAAAAGTGAACTATTCATATCAAAGAAAAGAGAAGAACAATAGTAATCAAACAAAAACTATTAGTTTTTGTGAATTAGAAACCGAAAATAGTGGAGAAGTATATATAGTTAAAAATGAACCTACCTCAAAGAAAATAGTAAAACGTCCGGCGAACCCAAAGTGGGAAGAAAGATTACGAAAAACAATTAGAAATCTACCAGAATTGCCAAAAGACCAACAAATAGTAGATGTTGACAACACACCCAATATAACTGACCCACCGCCCATCTCTAAACCTAAAGGAAGGCGTGGACCTTCAAAAATATACTCATTAAAACCCTATAATGTAGCAGACGACATTCTGTCCTTACCTACTAATGTTACGGTGGGCCAGATACTCCAATATCCGAATCAAAGAAGGAATTTGGCAAAAATCTTGAAACGACCTCCAATTCCAAAGAACCTTAATTTTCTCAAAGAACCTCAACGTACTACCGCAGTTAGATGTTATATCCGAATACAAAATAATCCAGTACTAGCTGTACTAGATTCGGGTGCCACAGTAAGCATCATCACAACACAACTATTATATAAATTAGGATTAAAAGTGGACGATAATTTTACTACCACAATCATAATGGCCACGGGGGCGAGAGCTAAGATGTTGGGAAAAGTAAAGAATGTAAAAATTATATTAAATGACATGGTAATTCCCACCACCCTGCATGTCATAGAAGCTGAAGGCGATACATTGTTATTAGGAACTGATTGGTTCCAAAAGACAAAAGCTAGAATATATTTTGATGAACAAAAATTATACTTACAGTATGCTGGTAAATCAACAGAAGTCCCGATTTCAAATACCGGGTTTGAAGGTCTTGATCCACCAAACGAAGACAGTCATAGTGACGGTGCTGATACTTTTGACGAATTCGACTATGAAAACGAAGAATTCGATAACGATGCAGAAGAAAAGTTTGAAAGTTGACTCTTATATAGTGGGGAAAATCCAGCACTATACCTCACTAATATAGAAGAGGTACCCACAAAGAAAGATGAAAAGGAAAAAGATAAAGAAAAATCTATTAAAGAAATAATAGAAGAAATGGTTAATAACGAAGAAATGACATCACAAGAACAATTTAAAGCTAAAGAATTCTTACTTAAAGAAGAAGACTTATTTGCTCAAAGTATTGAAAATTTAGGACGTACTAATGTTACCACCCATAGCATTAATACAGGTGACGCCACTCCGATTAAACAAGGCTATTATCGGGCCGCCTATGAAGAAAACGAGTTTATAAGAAAAGAAATTAAGAAATTAAAAGAACAAGGACTAATTATAGAAATAAACAGTCCCTGGGCTTCTCCGGTAGTCATAGTACCGAAGAAAAACGGTAAACTACGATTCTGCGTAGATTACCGAAAAATTAATTCAGTAACTAAAAAGGATACTTATCCACTTCCGCTTATTAACGATCTCCTTGATACCTTTGGGAAGGCTCAATGGTTCTCTACTTTAGACCTAATAAGTGGATATTGGCAAGTTGGAGTTAGCGAAAAAGATATAGAAAAGACAACATTTATAACAAAATACGGTACTTACGCCTTTAAAGTAATGCCGTTTGGTCTTTGTAACGCCCCGGGGACTTTCCAAAGGTTGATGGATCAAGTTCTTGGTGACTGTATTGGAAATTTCGCCGTAGTCTACCTAGATGATATAAATATTTATTCAAATTCGTTAGAAGAACATTTAAAACATTTAAAAATAATTTTTGATAAATTAAGAAAAGCAGAATTAAAATTAAATCCGGATAAATATACATTTTTTAAATCCGAGATCAATTACCTGGGTCATGTAATTAATAAGGAGAGGGTAAGACCCGACAGTCAAAAGTAGACAAAGTAAAGAAATTTCCAGTACCTGAAAATATTCGCCAATTGAGAGGATTTATTGGCTTAGCGTCCTATTATCACCGATTTATCAAAGGATTTGCTACGATAGCCCGACCGCTCCATAAATTATTAGAGAAAGATGTTCCCTACAAATGGGAAGAAAAGCAGCAAATTGCCTTTGAAACATTAAAAAGGCACTTGATGATGGCACCTATTTTGAGATACCCAGATTTTAAGGAAACGTTCTACTTACATACCGATGCGTCCGGCGTAGAATTAGGAGCCGTCCTGGCCCAGAAAAATAAGGACCACAAAGAATATGTGGTAGCCTATGCCAGTCGAGGCCTATCAAAAGCAGAACGAAATTATTCAGCCCCGGAAGTGGAGTGTCTAGCCGTCGTCTGGGCTGTAGAACACTTCCATTATTACCTTGGCGCTAAGCATTTTACACTAATTACGGACCACGCTGCCCTTAAATGGCTACATACCAGTGAGCCAAAAGGAAAAAGAGCTCGTTGGATATTAA